AGTTTATAAATATTTTTTTTACCTAGAAATTTGTGGATTTTTTTGTGGGGGGGGGCCCCCCCCCCCCCCCCCATTATTATACAGCACTGGAAGAATATAGCCACTGTTGATTTGCAAGTATGGATTTTTATATGTGCTCTTATGAAACTATTTTTTAAACACACACATACATACATACAAATGTATCCACAGAGTGGGGTGAGGGAAGTGCTGAAATGTACAATGAAACATTGCGACATAAACTTTGCTTCTGACTTGCTTGCAATGTTGCAATACAAATATGAAGGGGCAAACCTGCAAGGAGATGTCATGCTATATTTCATCATTTAGTATCATAACAGTTAGGAACTGGCAGGTATGTTTGAACCATATCTTTATGTAGATAACAGAACAATTTGAACAATACATTCATTCAATTTATTATAGTCACTGACCTATATTCAAGCTGATAAATTTAAGAGCCAATAATAAGAACAATGCAATCTTCAATTAAAACAATGTAACATAACTGTTAATAGGCATGCAAGTACTTATTTATTTAGGAGCATTCCATGAATGTTTTTCAACTTTCCTGTCTAGGACTGGGAAAGAATGAATAGCCCAAGTCACCCAGCCACCTTTGGTGCATAAGAGAGGACTAGAATATGGGTTATTCCTGTCCTGATCCAGTATCTTAACCCCTACACCACATTAGCTGTTTGGTTTATATAATAAACATCTACTATGGTATATTATGCATTATGCTATGGTTGTCGGCCTGACTATCAGCATGAACAAGACTGAAGTATTTTACCAGCCCATGCCAAATACCAACCCTGTGGAACCAAAAATCACTGCTGATGACACCCAGCTGACAAATGTAAACAGCTTCAAATATTTTGGAATATTCATCTCATGCAATGGTTCATTAGACAAAGAAATGGACTCCTGGATCATCAAGCACAGCCAGGCACTGGGGTGGCTGCATGCCAGGTGCTTAATCCACACAACACCCATATCTCCACAAAGCTGAAAGTCTACAGAGTTGTGGCTATCCTTCTCTCCTACATGGATGTGAGTCCTGGACTCTGTACTGAAGGTGCATCAAACAAGTAGAGAACTTTGACATGTGTGCTCTCCACTCCATTCTCAGCATTCTTTGGTAAGAGTATGTCTCCAACCTGGAGGTCTGGGATAGTACAGAGCCCACTAACATTGAGTCCCTGATTATCAGAGGCCAGATGCGGTTGGTGGGACATGTCATCATAATGTATGACCACCATTTGCCTCACCAGTTGCTCTATAGTATACTGGAATCTGGAAAGAGACCTCGAGGTTGACCATGCAAGCACTATAAAGAAACCCTATGCCACTGTGACACCCAGACAAGGGAACTAGAAGCTGTGGCTCCTGATAAAACCCACTGGTGAGCCCTGTGCTATGAAGCTTCCACAGGCTTTGAAGACAAGCGCCACCAAAAACTGATAGAAAACGATGAGTGGCATCACAGAATAATACTCACAGTTACTACAACAATGGACATCCAGTGCCCCCATTGCACTATACTCTGTGCTTCCAGACTGGGACTTCAGAGCCACCACCGAGTCCACAGATGAACCACACAGCAACATTTCTTCTTCAAACCCAAAGGACTACCATATTCCTTTTCTTGGATTGGGAGGGTCTGTTCACAGTCATTCATTCCCTGTCACCTTCAGATTGGACTACTGTAATGTGCTCTACATGGGGCTGCCCTTGAAGAATATCCAGAAATTTCAACTGGTGCAGAATGCGGCAATGTGGGTAGTTCTCTCCTAGAAGAGCACACGTTACACCTCTGCTTTCCAAGTTGCACTGGCTGCCAGTTTGCTACTGGGTCCAATTCAAGGTGCTGGTTTTGACCTTTAAAGTGCTTCATTGCATGAGGCCAGGTTACCTGCCTCTCCCCAATCACACCAGCCCATCCCATTAGAACTGGCAGGGAAGACAGGTTACGCATTCCATTGGCTGAGGACTTGAATTTGGTGGGTCCCTGGAGGCAGACCTTCTTTGCCGTGGTTCCCTCTTTGTGGACTTTCTCCTCCCTGAAGTTAGGTGTGCCCCTTCCCTGCTTTCGTTTAGGAGGTCCCTTAAGACCTGGTTGTGTCATCAGGCCTGAGTGTCTTTGGGAACCAGAGACATTCTTAGATGGCTCCACTGTAATTGATATTCTGCTGTCTCAATGGGGTTTGATCTCCTTCCTGAAATTCCTAACATGCCTACCGTTAGATTTTTAGTCACCACATCATCTCCTCACTATGGCCTTCGTTGAATGTTAGATGAATGATTCTGTTTTCTTCTTGTTCCTCCTCCACAAACTATTCCCATTATAGAGAAAATGCTACTCAGTACTCCTTAGTCCTGAGAGATACTGGGAAGTGGAGAAATTTAGAAAAAAATCACTAATGAAACATAGGTATTCCCTTTTTAAATTCTAGATGCAGACCCAATCTGCATGTGCTAAAAGTTGTAATTTTGAATACCATGGATGACTATGGAAAGAGAACCTATTTGCCACTATGAATCTACCTCCCATCCTAAAGGTATGGTTTTTAACAATTCAGGAGACAAAATTATTACAAAACAGAATACTCCATCCCTCGTAGAAGATATATGTAGTGTTTTTAATTGTCATTTTGAGCTGCCATTTATAATTAATAATTAATTCAATAGTTGAGAACATATTTCTATTGTGTTTCTTTAATCCCTTGGGCAACTTGGAATCTGCTTTGTTTGGCTAGTGTTCTTTAATTAGAAAGGTACAATACTGTTTTATGGTAATGTTTGATAGAATTGATAGATTGATGGAAGTTTTAAGCATGCATGATAAAAGGGTTTTCTTTTGTTTTTTGTGGAGGCAAAAACATTAGAAATGAGGTCTAACTTCCACGAACTGCATCCCATAGCTTGAGAATTATGCAGGAAAAAAGTTCTCCGGCAAGGCTAGCAGTGGTCCTCTGAGAGTTGGGACATGTTTAAGATGGTGTTTTCTATTGATCCAATTGCTAGTTGTTTTCCTAATGAGTAACTCAGTCCTTCAGCTAGTAAGACAATTATTTTGTTTAGCGTATATAAGTTAATTTATTGCCGTATGTGGTTCTTATACATCAAGTGCCAACTAATGTAGTTCTGTTGATTCTGGTATCCTGCACTAGTTAGTAGGCAATCTGCCAGCATCACTAGTTCAAGGTTCTGGAAACTCTTAAACTATACAAACCCCAAGTATGCTATATTGCAGTAATGAATCTGTGGTGTCATCTGGATCTGCCCTGTAGTACCTCTCTACTTTTCCTGATAGAAAGTAATGAAAACTCTCCCCCTTCCCCCATGAAGTCAGTACATCTGGCACTCTAATTATGCATTGCCATTTGGACCCCTACAATTATTGAAATCACAGTGATTTATTTAAATGTTTGCTATGTCCCTGTAGATGAACAAACATTGCTTGCAAATCAGATTTGTTGAATTATGTGGATTCACCACAATAACTATTTCGCTTTTGTATATAACCTAAGAGATTCACAATTAGGACTAAAGCAATGGAAGAGAAGACTGTTGTATGTCTGATATTTGTCAGATGGCTTTATGGAGATCAGACTGGTTTGCATAGGATGACAATTGAATTAAATATTGCTTCTACTGAACAATGCTACTGCTTAAAAAAATGATATGTGAAAGTAAAAATGCTGCCAAACATCTCAACAGTAATACAGCATTCCTTCCAGATTAAATCTCTTGGATATTAACTATAACTGGTTAACATACCTTGCGTGTTCAAATAATGAATGTGCTTCTCTTTCTTTTGGTACTTTTACCATCTGATACTATCTCCAGGCATCTGGCAATTAGTTATGATGCAGACAATCACCGTATGATCCTCCCTGAATATTATTTGATGGGGGACTATATTTTTGCTGGGATTTTTTCTATGCATTCTGCTTTTTTTGGTGTGGGAACTTTTGAAAAACCTCCTTTGTTGTTTAATTTGATTAGACAGAGGTAAGGATTATTATCATTTTTTTTTCCTTTGTAAAATATGAAAGTTTTCCCTCCCAGAAAGTCATTTTAAAGAATTAGAGTTTGTCACAAGTACATAATCTCAATTCACAATCATTTTCATAAGCATGACATTTTTCCAAACCGGACTTTCTGCTCTAACATATGAATTCAGGAAAAAGCAATCTTTTGATTCAGGCTAAACTGAGCAAACTTCAGCCAATTTAGCATAAAACCTCTATGATGAAAGAAGAGTTTAGTCTTCAAATTGGTTGAACAGGACTCTCATTTTGAAGCTTTGAGGATCTTGGTTTAGGTCACAAGATTAATGTCTGATAATAATCAGAGTAAAGTGACAGAGATATAGTGTATTTACTGAAGTGAGATCTTTAATACCAACATTCCAGCCTTTATATTTCCAGAGCCTGGAATAACTCAGTGATAATGAAAACATAGATGTTGTGCGTGCTCAAAAAGTTTTCCTACCTGAAGCCAAATCAAGATAAACTGATTGTCACTGAGGAATTGTACCACCTCAGGAAAAATTTTTTTCAGTTTCTTATTAATAAAAATATTACTTTCAATAATATTTAAGATCTTCGTACAATTCAACTTTCAGGATGCAACCAAAGAATTATCAGCATATCTTGGCTGCTGTGTTTGCTGTTAATGAGATCAACAAAAATCCTAGGCTTCTATCAAATATCACTCTGGGTTTCCGCCTAGTGGACAACTATTACATGGGAATTCTGAATTATTTGTATACATTACAGCTGCTTACAACACGAAAAAGAGGAAGCTATAATTATAGATGTGACACACAAGAGCAGCTTTTGGCCATTGTTGGGGGACTTGGCTCTGAAAATTCCATCCAAATTTCAAATATTATAGGCATCTACAAGATACCACAGGTATGAATCTTCTGAGAGATAAGTTGTGTCACCTTCTGTGGATATTCAGCTGACAACTGATGCTACATGAAATTATAGTTAGATTAGCAGTGTTTTCTTCTTACATATTCTCTTAATTTTGCTCATTTGGACTTCTAGCCTTTGGCTGCAAATAACATAATCTGATGCTTACAATAATGTAAACCTCACAAAGATATAAGAAACAGGTGCAAATGTATAACAATTATTTCAGGGATATTAAAGACTATCATTATCAAGGGTAATTGATTTCTACTGGTGTTTTGATTGGCTTTAATAATGTCCATAATCTTGCCTATGCACAATTCAATGGATTTTTATTTTTATTGTGACAACATGTCGCATAATGTGTCCTTTGCATATAGCTATGTCAGTGATCAAAAGTTAATACTTTTATTTTACAAATGGAGATGTATTTAATTTATGTTTAATCTCTCCCTATGGATAGTGCAATGATGATAGAAGAAAAATTCATAAGCTTATTGTCTATTGCAACATTTTGTTTATGGCTTTGTGTGGGAGGGGGGGAGAACCTTTCAATAACTTGCTTATAGCATTAGTGACAGTGTCAAAAGTCCGTGAAATAGCATTCCTATGGCAGTTTTCAAATGTTATTTCATGTAAAATTAGAATGAAAGCTAGAAGTGTATTTACTCATATACAGAGAATAACTGTCAGCGAAGGATGACTAGATAGAGAATTCTAACCAAATAGTTTCTAGAACTTCTCCAGAGCAAGTTAAGGCATTTTAGACCATTTTGATTAGTATGAGTATTTTCACAAATCCATCCATGGGTAATTACTTTTTCTACATTATTTGTTCTGGTTGTACGTAACAAATTGCAGAAGCAGTTATACTGATTTTATTTTACTTTCTCTATAAAAATTATTCACAGCCTCATTTTCATCCTCGATAAAACCTCTGAGACAAAAACATTTGGAGGAATTTCCCTAACCACCTCACAGAATTAAAAAAAAAAAAAAAGGAAAAAACATCTGTGAAATAGTTTTCTTTCTCCAATTTCTCAGAAAGTCTTTCTCAAAACTTAGTGAAAAAAAGCTAGTACAATATTTTCTTTCTTTGTTCTGAAAAAATTGGTTTGGTTCTAGATTGTAATAGCTGATATGCTTTTGCTACCCCGTAAGGCATGGATTTTCCTTACTAGCTTATCTATATATTTAGATCTAATTTTTTAATTGCTATGGCGTTCATGCAGAGAAGGTAATCCATGGTATTATATAACGTGTTGTAATTTCATAAGCAAGTTAATTCCTAAATTCAGCCATTTAAAAAAAAAAAAAAAGCAGATTTCTCAGGCTGAGAGTCTTTGCTTCCAGTGAAGACAGCAGATAGAAATTTCACTATGACTCAGCTTACTCCTATCTTTTCCTCTAGATCAGTTATGGTTCTTTTGAACCTGTGCTGAGTGATAAAATCCAGTTCCCATTCTTCTATCGGATGATCCCTAGTGAATCATTACAATTCCAAGGAATAATTCAGTTACTTCTTCATTTCTCGTGGAAGTGGATAGGCATAATGGCACCAGATAATAATGGGGGAGAAATGTTTTTGAGCTTCCTGGTCACATTGCTCCCAAAACATGATATTTGTGTGTCATTCACTCAGGCTTTGGCATCAAAAACTGCCTCTCCAACAGAAATTAAAACTGAATTAGATAAAATTGAGAATGCATACTCTCAAACCAGCGCCAATGTGGTAGTTGTAAGTGGGGATTCCCGGGACCTCCTCATGTTCACAATATGGATGGATTGCAATGTCTATTACAGAAAAGAAGCTTTCATAAGGAAAGTTTTGATCATGACTGCTCAGTGGGATTTCACTGCTGTCAATTCCAGGGGGCTCTGGTTTCTGAAACCTTTCCATGGTGCTTTGTCTTTCACAATTCACACCAACACTGTGCCAGGATTCCAAGATTTTCTTCACTCGCTGGATTCTCTACACCCTAAAGGTGATATCTTCATCAAGGAATTTTGTAACTTTGCATTTAGACAGGGCTCCTATAATGAAGATCTGGACTTTGAGAAAGATCAGATAAGCTGCAGAGGAAAAGGAAAGATGGAGTCCTTGCCAGCAGCTGTTTTTGAAAGGGTCATGTCAGGCCAAAGCTACAGTACCTACAATTCTGTACATATGGTAGCCCAAGCTTACCATGAAATGCATTCTTATAGTTCCAAGCACAGACAACTAGAAACACGTGATGGGTCAAGGTTTCTGAATATTCAACAGTGGCAGGTATTTTCTCCAATGCCGACATTTTATAGATGTTGTTATGAAACCAGATAACTGACTCAATTATCCCCCCCCCCCAAAAAAAGATCTTCAGATATCAGTATCTTTGTGTATTCCAAGGAGGAACATAGGAAATAGGTGCATTTTTGGAGAATATGGGCAGAATAGGCAAGTTTGCTTTTTTTTTTAAAAAAAAATCATTTAAAGGAGTTCAGCATAATTTGGTTAAATGTTTACTTCCAAATGCTCTAGGCTCCTTCTAAATTAATGTTACAATTCTCTGATTTTTAATTAGTGAGCCATAATAATAATAGCCCAAGCAAAAAATGACTGTTGTTTTCATGTCTAATTTAAGTAATATAATTCCTTTAACTCTTTCATAAATCCAATTTTGTAAAAAAAAACAGAACAATCTTTCTCTACCCCAAATCAGCTTTTATGATAAGATATGCACACTTTCAAATTATCAGTCTGTTGTTGATGGAGCAACCACAATAACTTTAAAGTCTGAACACTGAAATTATTTTTCTAGAGGTTCCTGTGAGGACTTTGTCAAGTCCATCAGAAACTCTGTATCTGCCAAATCTACTACCTGAGACTATTTTGATGCCCTTTTAAAGTCTACTTTGATTAAGTTTTGAGAACAATCAGGATTTTAAAATGTACTTAAGGATTCACCATTTTTTATTCATATTGCATCTGCTGTCAGTCTTTCTTCTGAAGTCTTCAAAAAGTCACATATTGACATATTTGTCCTACTGTATTCCTCACAATAGTTCCATGATGTGTGTGAAACATGAGCAGTTATATTACTGTAATTAGTAATACTATTATTATATCATTTGGTCATTAATTGCAAGAATATTATTTTGTAGATCATGGAAAAAATATCCTTCATAGTTCAGTTAAACCTAAGTCAATCTGTATTCATCTAGCTTCATCATGTTTTAAAAACCATTGGATTTAACAATAGTGCTGGGGATGAAATATATTTTAATGAGGACCAAGAATCTATGGATGGTTATGACATTGTGAATTGCATCGTCTTCCCAAATGAGTCTTTTTCTCAGGTAAAAGTTGGAAGGGTGGAGCGACAGAGTCAGAAAAGCCAGGCTTTCACACTTAAAGATGATGCAGTCGTATGGAATAGCTGGTTCAATCAGGTGAGACATTTTAGTTCTCCTTTTAGTTCAAATACTAAATTTTAATTCTATCATTATTTCACATGGGTGCAAAAATAAGCTGTCTTTCCTGTACAAATGCTGGAAAATACTATCCTTCTGCCTGTGAAACTAAGTTTTGTTCCTTGTCAAAATATCAAGATAATCTTTTTCAAGATAAAAAAGATCCTTCAAAATATGTGAAGTTGCTTCTGTAGTTCCTCCAGGAGATTCTTAAAATAGCTGTGTCTTTTCCTCTAAAGCAGCTGTGCAATTCAGGAAAATAATGTATTTGGTTATTTTCTAAGAGGTGAAACTGAAACTCCCCCCCCCCTTTCTTTTTCATTTTCTTTTTCCTACTTCCTCCCTTCATGCCTTCCACAAACAGGGCAATATGAGGTCCCAATAGGAGCTGTAAGAGAGAACTAGTGTGGAATCAACCAGCCATTTAGAAAATATAAATACAAAAGAGACTATTGTCAGTCTGCTATAATGCATTTCATAATTAAGCAATATGCTTTTCATTCATACTCCTGAAATGGCCCCGATACGCAACGGATTCTTCTCACTGCTCTCTGTGTTGGCTGGCCAAGGTCCCTGAGCTGAAGCAACCTCACTGAATTGTTGAGAAGTAAAAATGGTGTGGGTACAATATAAGTTTCCTTGTGGAAACTAACTGGAAATGTAGCTCGTGAAAGCAACAGGTAAATCATCAGTTAATACATTTATCTCCATTGACATTCATCCAAGTGTTGGGGGAGGCAATGCTGAAAGAGGCCTCCATACCTTCTCATTCTGAGGGTAATGAATCAGAAAAATCAGTTGGATAACTCAGGTGGTGATTGTATCCATGCTGCCAATCTCCTAAAGATGGCATAGAAGAAGTTGTGCCATGATTTGGTTCTTGTTTTCTTATTACAATGTATACCAAGATTTTGACTGAATATATTTAATGTAACTCTAAAAATGATACATCTCAGACATATTTCCTCACAAATCTCCCAGAACTTAAAGTGAAAAGTATCCATGATGCAATGATTCCAGTAGTCATATGAAACACTGTGTAAATGATTAACTGTGTGGGGAGAGGACTATGGAATGAAGTAAAGGAGAAATGGTATATTAGCTCTATATAAATGAATAAGTACATCTGAGTTTTAGCTATCTGGAATCTGGGTTTGAGATAAAAAAAAATGAGAAGACTCTTTAACTAAAGATAACAGTTTACTTTTTCTGTTTAGACATCACCCCGTTCATCCTGCACTGAGAATTGTCAGTCTGGATACAATAAACAACTTCGAGAGGGTGAACCAATTTGCTGCTATGATTGCCTTCCATGCCCTGAAGGCATGATTTCTAACACAACAGGTAGTTATGGAAACAAGATATGGAAAGTTCTCACAATTAGGGATAGAGCAAAACATGCTTAGATATACAGAGACACCTCTCACACTGAGCAAAAGGAATGGATGATTCTTAGAGATCAGATGGGACACCCTAGCTTCATTACAACATGTGTTGGTTTATTTGTTTTATTTCCTTTATTTTTTTTCCTTAGATTTCTATTACCTGTTTCTCTAGGAGTTCAACACAGACTTCCCTCCATTTTTTCCCACTGCAGCAAGCCTGTGAGATAGGAGAAGCTGAGAGATCATGAGTAGTCAAAAAACGTTGGTTCTGTAATTGTGGGTGGACTTAAACCTGTATCTTCATCTGTCCTAGTATAGCAGCTATCCACTGCAGTTTACTGACTCTCTTTAAATGATTGTTCTGAAGTATTAAAGTTACATTTAAAGATTTTGAAAGGTCTATTAGCATATAACCCTACTTTGCACTTTTGGTTAGAATTCTGATTTTAGAACGCATATGGCAGAACTGAGATTTGAAATTGAGATATTATTGTATTTACTATTTGCAGTACATTTAATTTCAACAAAATAACAATTACAAGGAATCTGGAATCATACTCTTTGCAATCCTCCATGTCTATATCTGTGTGAGACAGAAACAGAGAAATGATTTTATATACTGTGTTCTCTCTCTCTCTTTCTCCTTTCCTCCCTCTTTTCCTAGATGCAGAATATTGCAACCAATGTCTAGATAATGAGCATTCCAGCCAAGGACAAGATCAATGTATTCCAAAATCTATAGACTTTCTGTCTTATACTGAAACTTTGGGAACTCTGCTAGCTTCCTCTTCTCTCATTATGTCTTTCATCACAGTTCTGATACTGATCATTTTTATTAAATATAGGGATACTCCACTTGTCAAAGCCAACAACCGGGACCTCACCTATGCCCTCCTTTTCTTGCTCCTGCTTTGTTTCCTCTGTGCCTTGCTCTTTATTGGCAAGCCTAGGAGAGTGACCTGCCTTTTCCAACAAATAATATTTGGCCTCATCTTCTCCGCTGCCATTTCCTCTGTATTGGCCAAAACCATCACAGTAGTTTTAGCTTTCAAAGCTATACAACCAGGAACCAACATGAGAACCTGGCTGAGGAAAAGAGTAGTTAACTCGATTATGCTTCTCTGCTGCCTTGGCCAGTTTGGACTCTGTGTTGTCTGGCTAGCAGTAAGTCCTCCCTTTCCAGATGTGGACATGACATCCCAGAGCACAAAGATCACAGCTCAGTGTAATGAAGGATCGGTTGCCATGTTTTATTGTGTCCTTAGCTATATGGGCTTCTTAGCCATTGCTAGTTTTGTTGTAGCTTCCTTTGCAAGGAACCTGCCTGATAGCTTTAATGAGGCCAAATTTATTACATTCAGCTTGTTGGTGTTCTGTAGTGTTTGGGTCTCCTTTGTACCCACTTACGTAAGCACCAAAGGGAAATACATGGTTGCTGTAGAAATCTTTTGCATCCTAGCCTCTGGGGCAGGATTACTCTGTTGCATCTTTTTTCCAAAGTGTTATATTATAATTGTGAAACCTGGACTTAATTGCAAAGATCATTTGATAAGAAAACTTAATTAAACTAGATCTTGTCATATTTTCTTTATTTTGCTCTTCTTACCCACCTGTAATTATTTTGGCGTTCACTATTTATCTTGCATTTCATGAAATATCTGTAAACCTTCTTCATTAGCTTACTGTTGAAAACAACCTATATTCATATATTTTAAATAAAGCAATGAATTATGAAACCACAAGAGTTGCATAGTCAACTTGCAATATGTTACTAGCTGAAATTGTAAAGAAGACTTATCTGGCACCCTACCTTATTGACTCAAATGCAACCATGATAACTTATGTTAACGAGACTTGAAATGATAATGTAAATTTGAGTACAAGTAGTCCTCACTTACCAACCACAATTGGGACAGACAACTCTGTCATTACGTGATGCGGTTGTAAAGTGAAATATCACATGACCATGCCCAATTTACAATGGTACTTCCAGCTGCGTTCATTACCGAATCACACAAGGTCATTAAGCAGAATGTCATGTGACCAGGGATTGCAACATCCTGCTGGCTTTACCATTGATTTTCCTTGTCAGAAGCCAACTGTGAAGGTCATAAATGGTGATCATGTGACCCTGGGACGCTGCCACTATTGTAAATACATGTCAGTTGCCAAATGTTGGAATTGTGATTGCTGACAGTGGGGGCACAGGGATAACCGCAACTTCAAGGACTGGACATAAGTCTCCTTTTTCAGCACTGTTGTAACTTTGAACAAGTGGTTGGTAAGCGAGCACTACCTGTATCATCAGGCTAAAGATATATTTGTCACCTCAAACTAGTGGATTACCTCCTCCAACATTTAAATGTTAAATAATAGTGTTTTACTTAAATGTTAAATAATAATGAGGAGATAGCTGAGCCCTGGGGCACCCCATGCTAGAGCACCCAACAGCCAAGCCATTCCTCCATTCTCCCCACTCCCCATACATACAGTATACATACTGCTGATGGAACTGACTACTGAAGTAGAAACAGAATCACTGCAAGACAGTGCCTCCAATTCCCACAGAGAATCCAACAGGATC